TAAGATGTGATATTCCTGCATAGGAAGGATAACAGTGATAACATAAATCTCTGGAGGGACTTTCTCACCAAGAGTTAGCATGGTTTCCTGAGGAGTAAAAGCAATCTGAGCTCACAGATTGTGAAAGAAGTCTTGGCCCAGGAGGGGGAAGGACATTTGGACATAAATACAAAAGAATGACTAAGCACTTGTGTTCCAAAATGTACCTATCGCAGTGCACTACAGGAATATGTTGAACACTGGCCAGTTGTTTCTGGTACATATATCTTTTCCCCTACTGGCTGGGTAGCTGCAGATATATCCATGCCAGTGTTCACCAGGAATCTAATAGGCTTTACCTCTAGATTTGTGGCTAACATGGGTTCCCTGGGCCTGAGAAACAGAGACTCATGACCTTTTCATTCTGAAACTTCCACTGAATCCATCACAAACACTTCCTTTTCTTCTTTCCATAGCAGCTTTAGACATTGTAACTTGAAGTGTCCCTTTCCCTTGCAATAGGCACATTTGTCTGTGACTATAAGCAGGAAGCAGCCTCCTGAAAGGCCAATCTACTTCATCCTTCTTTCCTCTGGATCCTGACTGAGCAACTCCTTTGTAAACTGCCATCATCACTTCCATCTGTTCTTCCTGAGGTTTGCACCTCTTTTCTTCTCTGTTATAATACACCTTCTGGGCTACCTCAATCATACCTCAAGTGAGTCACAATCATTCCTAAAAATGCATCTAGTTTTTGTAAATTGTGGCATACATCGGAGCCATCTGACATACCACAAAGTCATGTTAACAATGCAGGTGTTCTTGGGTGCTTGTGAGTTGAGTAGCATGCATTTTTGATAGGCCTCCAGGAGGTACTTTAAGAATGCAGTGGGGCATTACCTGGCTACAATACACTTCTATCACTTTATTTCAATTGGTGGGGTGATAAGTAGCCACAAGGGTCTCTTTTCTCATGGCCTGATGGTATGCCTGTATTTGCTGAGCACCCAGATCATCATTTGGGTCCCAGTCTGGTAATTGCTGAGCCACTGCCTTACATGAGCCACTGCCGCTGCCTTACCTTGTTCAGTTTCCCATAGTCTCTGATCTCACTTGATCCACTGTCTGTGCTCTCTCTCTCTCTCTCTCTCTCTCTCTCTCTCTCTCTCTCTCTCTCTCTGTGTGTGTGTGTGTGTGTGTGTGTGTGTGTGTGTCTGTCTGTCTGTCTCTTTTCCCTGAGGAAAACAGGGTTAACAACAGTTGCTGACAATCATCCCAACTAGGGAAATGTGTTTTAAACACTGAATCCACTAAAGTAATCAGAGCCCAAGGATTCTCTATAAAAGGGAGATTCTGAGGCTTCCAATTGTACAACTCATTAATGCTAAAAGAAACATAACCCAAAACAGACCAGATACTCCCTTCCACTCCTAGAAAGGCTGTCTGCCAGAAGGTCAAAACTGGAACTGCATCTGAGAAAGATACTTCCTTATCCAGAGAGGCGGAATCTTCCATGGACTCTGGAGATGGTCACTTGATGGGGATGGTCCTTGCAGGGTCAGCAAGGAGCACAGAGGGTGGTAGCAACGAAGTGAGTAGAGGATAGAGTCATCCTCTTTTGAGGCAAAGGCAAGACAGATGATTTTGCCCCAGAGAATTTTCCTTTTGTTACCAACACTGACTTAGGTGATCTACAAGCACACATTTTACACCATGGAAATAATGCTCAAACTACACACAGCCAGGTGTCTATATAGGAAATTTAACCTGGGTGCCCTGGCTTCCCAGTGACAAAGTTGCACATTTCAATGGCTACCTGAGGATCGAGCATCACCTCTAATGACCACCCCATATCAAAAAGGCTGTTCCAGCCTGCACAGAGTATGGAGCTTTCCTCATTTCATCTTTACCTCATACTCACTTTTATACTTATCAAAAATTTTAACCCTACAGTCCAAGACAATTAGCTTGCTGTCATCTGAACTCATTGTGGCCTAAGAACAAAATAGAAGCAGCCTACCTAAGCAAGTCTTCCATCCCTCACTCAGCCAACAGTGCAAACGGCCACAAGAATCCCTTTTCTAAGGCTAAGGCTAGCGAAGTTTTAAAAGATGCATGTTTCTGCAGTAATGTTCAGGACATGGGCTGGATGCTCCAGAGTCTCCAAGTGCAAGATTGTGAGAGGCAGAAAAACCAAGAGGAGGGTGATCACCAATACTCCAAGTCAAGTGATAGATTGAACAGTGATCTGAAATTCTGGGTGCGTTGGTGTTGGGGGCCAACACAGACACACAAAAAAGCAGACAACCCCAGGAAGTGGTTACCACTCCCAAATGAGAAACTGGAACAAATTCAGAGACCAACTTTGAGCAAACACATGGCCAAACCAAGACTTAATAATCACTGCATCCTGTGACTTGGAACCCACTAATTTAACCAAATGCGAGCTCAAGGAATCAAGTCCCTGAATGAGTCCACAACAAATACTAAATGAAACCAAATTTCCAAATGTTTACCCAGGTCAGGAGACAAGCTCTGTTGTTCCATCGTGCAGCTGTGTTAGCTGTGTTACCCTGCCTCACAGTCGTTCAAGGAGCCTAGCTGAAATCAGCCAAGCTACCCTGCCACCTGAAGACCAACTGCCAAGGTGAGGAGGAATGGGCCCTCCTCAAACAAGGACCAGCCCATGAGTAACTAATGGGAGCTCCAAATGTAGTGGCAGAAGACATGAAAGAGACCCTCAAAGATGTACAGAATGGATACAACCAAGCTTTATTAGCCAGTAGAAGGCATGGTCAGCGATAAGCCAAGACACATTGACCACCAGGCTTTGTTCTCATGAGTTTTTATACACTTAACAAGCTCCTCAGTAACCATAGAAATCACATGTCTTCATTTGGAATTTGACAGGAGAGACATAAGTTCTTTCTCAAACATCAGGGTCATTAATCAAACAGGATGGAGGCAAGAATCAATATGTCCATTATTTGCTATAACAGTTTATTCCTCCCTTGTGGTTTTCTGGTTAACTGGGAGGGTGTTGGAGACCACTAGGAAGTGGCTTCAAGCAGGATTTAAATTTTACTAGTTGGCTTTCTATGTTTATCTGTGAGTCTGTCCTAGGCCTAGGCCCCTTGCCTGGTGAAGGGAGCTGATTCATAGTAAGTGAACCTCTATGAATCACTGGTCCTGGCTGAGGCCTGTAGTGGCCTGTGAAGCCAAAGATAACTCAAAGTGCAAGATAAGACCACAGCTGCAGACATGTTGCTCCAATCCCAATTAACAAGATAAAGACTGCAGCTGCAAAAGTTACTCCTACAGTCTAACTTCTACCACATCTTCATGGTACTGCTACTAAGTGGACTTGATTCACTACTTGGAGACATCCTTGAAGTGACTCCCAAGGTCCTGCTCATTGCCTGTGCTTTCCCCAGTTTCTTCTTGGTCCTAATATGAGTGAACTGATCCAGAGAAGTTTTTGTGTTAACCATTGGAGCCTTCAGCTTAATTAAAGTGTTTTGACCCTCCTGGAGCCCTAAAAAATCATACAATTTGTCTCTTCTTATTTAGCCTCAGCCATACACTCATTTGGAAGACCTAGGATCTAAGTCAGAATCCGATAGGAGGATGTGAGTTCATCTAAAGTTTGAAGGTGTGAGTTCCTCTAAAGTTTTATATTAAATTACAATAGAGTCCTAAAACAAAATGGAGTCACTATAGCCATGTCCTGCTTAAAACAACAGCAACAAAAAAACTACAGATGACCTTGTACCTCATACATAAACGACTTCAATTACTCTTTTTTAATTCCTTCTCTGAAATAAATCTCCCCTAGATCTATAGGCATAATTGGTATTGAGGGGGACCCTAGTCAGAACTTCTTTACTACTGCTCTGCATGTCAGTTCAAGGTTTTGGTGTTAGTGTCTAAACAAAAATCTGGAAAAAGAGGGGCTACCTAAAAATTCTAGAGATAGTCTATCTTCATAGGCAGTTCTCTGTCATTCATTACAAGATATGTAAAATTGACATGTTTTAGTCTCCTTGATACTGTGATTTGAGCAACTATTTCTAAGATGATAATATGCAATCTATTAATAGGTGATTTCTTACTGTTTTTTTATGTAGTTCTGTATTACGTGTACCCTTATACCGCTTTGTTTTGTTTTGTGTTTTTCTCTTTTTCCTTTTAAAATAAAATTAAAAAAAAAGAAAAAGAAAAATCCAGTGGCTCACAGTGATGCAAGTGGGACAGCCTTGCAGCCCCTCAAAATTCTATTCTTACTCCCAATTCCTGAGGAATTATTCTGGTCCTTCCTCAAGGGATGCAGATAAGCTACATGGAAAGTGATCACTCAAATTTTCAAAAGACTAAAATTCTACTCCTGTAATCACTGAAAGACGTTAGGCTCCTCTTCAAAAGCAGTACTCCAATTCTGTTTTGAGTATAGTTGTCCCCATAAATTGTTGCTGGTACCCTATCTAACAGTTGCTCCTGAAAACTTCACCAAACTGTCTTCTGTTAAACAGAAAGCTCAAAAATTCTGCATATATAGACATTAACTCCTTTCTCATTGTCTTCTGACAGGTTTTCTTCAACTCAGCCATCATCCTAAATTACAGAGTACATAATCCGCAGTGTGTAGGACCTACAATCATTTTCAGCAGGAAGTAGCTATATGAACCTAGAGACCACCACTCCTGCGGCAGCCCATAGAGATCTGAGAATTTATATCTCTCTGGGGGAAGTGAGGCAGTAGATTAGGGCATAGCAAAGTGCCTGGGCAATTCGTGGTGATCTATCAATCACAGACACTAATTAATAATAGAGGTGGAGAAACCATGAACAGAATAAATTCCAAGCCCTGCACCTGATACCATTCTACTGGTATGAGACAAAAGGAGGGGGCTGGGGATTTAGCTCAGTGGCATAAGCACCTGCCTTCAAAGCAGGTGGTCATGAGTTCGATTCCTGGTTCCAATAAAAGCAAAACAAACAAACAAAAAAAACAGATCAAGGAGGCTTTTGATAGAACTCTTTAGATCTGACATCAGAACAGTAGTCATTAAGCTGGTGAGTCTCTTCACCAGCCCAACTTGCAATCATTAGGGTTAACTTCTTTTCCTATGTTAAGTAGCACACACTCATTCTGCAGAACACTTATTTTCACAGCAGTTTTCTTTTTGAGCATTTTGATTGCACTTTTTTCTTCTTTTCTTGTTATTTTAATCTTAATAAATATAAACTTTCATTTTCACCAACTGTCCTGTCCAGTTTTTGAATGGTACAGTATGTGGATGGAAAGAACCAAGGATAACTACAACACTTGATAACAAGTATACAATCACACATGTACACACACACACAAACATATGCATGCATGTATGCACACACAGTTTATGTCTATAATTCAGGAATGTAGAAAAGTAGTAATTTACAATGAAACATCCCATTCCATTCTGACTTTACAGGGTCCATTCCAGTTTTCTGTTTTTGTGAGATAGTGAAAACCAGTCTTCCATTATCATTGGTATATTACTGATTTGATCAATGCCATTCACAGAGCCAGCTCTCTTCTCATTTGTAGTTGCCTCTTTACCACACCTGGGCTCTCCATAACCTATTCAGGTGATGGCGCTTTTCTGTCTTGCTTGGGGTCCCACAGTCATGCATAGCCTCCCTTACACATGAATACCTTCACATCCTCCTTTGACTGTGACCCACTTTGACTCTCACCCAACCCAATGTGTGACCATGTTGTGCCTTCCGTACTGGCTTTAGGACTGAATTAGTCAAATAAAAGGAAGAAACTCTATGATTTTTGGTGCCAAAGGAAGTTGACAAATTCTTTCACTTTTGCTCCCAAATCAGCTAAAGAATAGTTTCTAGTTATTATTTTTGTTGTTAATTTCAATTGTATTAAGGGATCAGGAAGTTGAAGATTGACTACAAAGTGGCATAAGAAAACATGTTTCTAGGGCTGAGGATGTAGATCAGTGGAAAAGTGCTTATTTAGCATGTGCCTGCACTCCATTCCCAGTGGAAAAAGGCAGAAAAAAGGAAAGAAGGGCATGTTTCCTATTTTCCAGAAACATCTCGGAAGATGATGCTAAATCAAAATTAATAATAAAGTAATGAATACCTCATTTCAGTTATACAAAAGCATATGCTTCAAAAGGCTAGAATTAAATCATGGATGTAGCTTCCAAACTACATCTTCGGATAAAAATTCTACATCCTCTGATAAATATCAGAGGAATAATTCTCATCAATTTTAACATAGAAATCGGATCAGAGAAAGGGCCCAGAGGACCAGTGACTTTGATGACCAAAAATAGATTCCTTCACAATGTGCATTTTTTAAAGATTACTTTTTTCAAGAGATATATTTATTTGAACTTTCAAATAATGCTACTTATATATTACAAATATTTCATAAAACTTTTTACTACAATCAGAGCTATAATTCTTGTTCTCATTAAAAATTGTTGTTAAAATTGTTGATAAGTGTTTTCCTTGATCAGAGCTCAAATGCAATTGATGGTACCACCTAGAGATAGGACAGAGAAAGTCCTGTGAGCATTAGAGAATGTGAACTGACAAGTCTGACACTCATTTTGTTACAACAGATAGATTATACAGATATGGAGCAAGCTCAAAGTGTGTACTGAATCCCTCATAACTCTTCAAGGGCAGTTTATTAAGCTCATCTTCATTTGGGTTTATTCAAAAGTAAATTAAAGCCTTCCTAAAGAACATAGCAGAAGTCCATAGATGATCAAGCTCCTCTTATGGTCTCATCTCTTGACACAACCTTCAGAATTAAGGGTTTTTCTGGCTGAAGAAGAGCTTCTGAGCTTAACCTCAAAGGGATCTGCAAATATTAAACAAAGGTATTTAGAAGCAAAAAATGAAATACAATCACAGAAATAAAATAGAACAAAAGATATATTATGGAGAATAATTCTTTGCAAACACATGTGTTTGATTCCTTATATCTCCTCCTGACTCCCCAAAATAGTACAAATAGAGCAAGTCTGTTAATCAGCATTTGGACTGGTTCTTAAACCACGTTCTCCATTCTCTTAAGTGACAAGGATAGAGCCTCATAGTAAGTTTATGATCTCAGTAGACCAAAGAGAAAATTTACTAAATAGACATGCAGACTGAGTAGTGCCAGCCTATACATGACTAGGAGCTTACAAGGGAGGATCTGCTCCATTCCAGGTGCACCAGTGTTCTGCTTTCTCCCAAGACTATTGCTATCTAGGGACTCTTACCAGACAACTACACAGCTGCCCCAAAGCCAACACACAAGATAACCACCACTGCACTCGTCTTCTCCCGACAATACCAAAAACAAACAAACAAACAAACAAACAAACACCTAGAAAACCAAATTGTATGCTTTAATGGAAAATTATTAATTTAAGTGATAATAACACTCTGAAGTAATCATTAGTAGGTTCTGGAAAAGATGAAGATGGCCTCTCAGAGTGTTTTCAGGATTGAAATAGGATTTAAGGATAATACACTGAGGAGGAGAAAAACATGAAGATCCATACACTTATTATGAGAATGTAAAAAATACCTAGTGTATCTGGAGCAGAGCTACTAAAATATGTGCTCAAGTAGTCAGGATGTCCCTGAGAGGTGAGAGTTCTTCATATCCAACAGTAAAACTAAAGGTTCTTAATCCTTACTACAACTGAGAACCAGTGGGGAGCTTTTACACCTTGACTCTGTTAAATTATTTTAGGATATCTAAAATTACCCAGGAACTAAGCTCAGGAGATTCTGAAGTTCATCAAGGTATTCCAGGATAAAACCAGGATGAGAACCACTGTCACAAGAAAGGTCCTGTAAGCCTAGCAAAGGAGAGCACCACTTGGGCACTATGCTGATGTAAACAATGCACTTTATAGCTTTTTCAGAGCATGTTCCATCTCCACTTCACTTGAAACTGAAATTTAAGACTTCCTTAAAAAATTACACATTACCATATTATGCTAATTTGCATTCACTCTACATGATCTTTTTGCTGTTCTTTATAATTGTACACAGATTTCCAGCTCCACAACTAAAGACCCTTGAAATTTGTACCAGCTGCAAATAGATTCTTTTCCCATAGAACAAATTATGAAAATATCCATAAGCATGTTCATATTTGCATATAGACACAATAGTTTTTTTCAGGCCTCCCAAAAAAGCAATATTTATGCAGAAAATTTATTGGCTGACCTGTGTTTCTTTACAGGGGTAGAAAGAGAAGTTCTGCAGCAGTCGTATGAGAGCAAGTTTTAAGTTCATGAGTGCCATCCTCCTGCCAATGCAGTTCCTGGGTCCATTCCCAAAGGGCATGTATATGTAAGGGTCAATATTCTCCTTGTTTTTCTTACTGAACCTGGTAGAAAATAGTAGAGAAAAGGATGGGAAGGAGAAAAAGATTAAGTTGTGTTATGTACATGCACAAACTCCCAATAATAATTGTAATCATTGTGTACTGCAAATGTACTACAAGCAAATTTTAAAAAATAATAAGCTGGAGAAACAAAACAAACGAATGAAACAAATGCATAAGAGCTACAGATTTGGGGTTCTCAGCTACACCCCTCAAGCAGGAGTATACAAGCGATTTTGTGGGTTGCTCACCAAAACCCTGCAGTAGTTACCTCCCAGTAATAACTATATGCTAAAAGTCATTTGCACACATCATGCATGCTCTCTAGAAGATTCTAGTCTTGTTGAGATGACATAGGGTGAATTCTATCTGAAAGAAAATGTATCTCTAAACATTAAAATCTCATTCAAGATGGTGATGTGTTTCCACTCTGAAGGCACACAGGAATTAGGCTGAATGATGAGAATGTGTGCTCTCACCTCCACTCACACTTATGTTGGCCAGATGCTCATTGAGTAAGGAGGAAAAAATGATTGTTTTTCCTCTCCTATTCTCCTCTCCTCTCTTTTGTCATTAGTTTATCATTATTATTCTTCATACCCTCTTCTTCCTTGTCATTTCCAAAACTATTTACCTCTATCTCCTGCAGAAAATAAATTTTCATTTCATAAAAGAAATGAAGGAGATGCTGAAAATATCTAAAGAAGACACAGTTAAAAAATTGGAGGAACTAAACAAAAAGATAGATTCCCTGGATGAACAATATAAGACACAAACAGAAACAATAAAGCAGATGGAAAGAGATATACAGGAAATCAAAAACTCCATCGAAAGTTGTAAAAACCACCTAAATGAATGTGAAGATAGAATTTCAGACCTCAAAGACAAGATTGCAGCCAGTGAACAGGAAAGAAAAGATCTTTTAAAAATAACAAGAAATCGGGAAATAACAATTCAACACCTGCAAGATGATGCAAAGAGGAAAAACATAAGATGATAGGGATAAATTAAAAACAAGGGGACAACATAAAGAATGTCAAGAGGATATGTAGAGAAGTAATACCTGAAAATTTCCCAGCACAGAACAGTGAACTTCAGTAAACATGTCCTTGCACAGAAGGGCAAAGCATGATTATGTAGTATTATTACTGACTTCTTTGTCTATTTGCTCTACTAGGTTAACTTCTCTATCTTAATAAATTGGCACGATATGTTCTTGAGACAAACACAAAGACCAATAACAACATATCTTTAGAAGATATCCCTAAGGAAGACACATTTCCTAGAGCAGCCTGAGTACTGTGATAAAGCAGTGAAAAGAAATCTATATGCATCAACACAAAATAAAACAAATAAAAGAAACCAAATGAAAGAGAAAATAGAAAGTGATAGGACACAAAATTAAAATGCAAATCCAGACCTCCAGTTCACCCAGAACCGGTTGAGAACACAGTGACATAAAGAAATCAGAAGTTGCTCATTGGAACTTTCTGAAATGATACCAGAAGGAGTGAAGCAAACAAATGGGAGAGGTACAGAAAAAATCTATTGATTAAAAAAAGAAATGATGATCAAAACCAAAAACATTAGAGCAGACACAAATAAAAATAGAGGAGCATAGGAAAATGATGGAAATGTGAATGCTCAAAATAATAAAAAATGCAATTCTCGAAACAGATCCAAACAGAAATCAAGAATATTAAAAACTCCACTTAAAGTATACACAACAGATTGAAGAAAGGCAATGAGAATATTGGATCTAGAACAGGATTGTGGCTAGCAACCACAAAAAGAAAATTATCTTAAAGATAGCTAGGAAATCCTGTCTGGTCCAGTAAGTCCAGTGGAGGTGCAGAACTCTCTTCTTTGCCTGGGGGCCAGGCTCCAGCTTCCTATCAGGACCAGTAAGTCCAGTGGAGGCAGGGAACCTCGCCCCAGCCGGAAGGAGCTCTCTTCCTTGCCTGGGGACCAGGACCTGGATTCCTGTCCAGATCAACGAGTCAGGAGGAGGCGGGGAATTCCTTCCCAGCATGGCTGACCACTCTTCCTCACTTGGAACAACACTTGAAGCTTGAAAATGGCAAAACAAAAGACCAAAATGCAATCTCAAATATCCAGCCCATTCCAAGAAAGCCTAGGAGCCATGTGCATAAAAGAAAATATATCCTATATACCTGAAATACCTGAAATAATTGTAACTGAAATAAAGAAGAAATTCTGGGGAGCCTTAAAGGAATTCAAAGTAGAAATAATCTCTCAGATAAAAGAAGAAATAATAAAAGAAATGAAGGAGATGCTGAAAATATCTAAAGAAGACACAGTTAAAAAATTGGAGGAACTAAACAAAAAGATAGACTCCCTGGATGAACAATGTAAGACACAAACAGAAACAATAAAGCAGATGGAAAGAGATATACAGGAAATCAAAAACTCCATCGAAAGTTGTAAAAACCACCTAAATGAATGTGAAGATAGAATTTCAGACCTCAAAGACAAGATTGCAGCCAGTGAACAGGAAAGAAAAGATCTTTTAAAAATAACAAGAAATCGGGAAATAACAATTCAACACCTGCAAGATGATGCAAAGAGGAAAAACATAAGATGATAGGGATAAATTAAAAACAAGGGGACAACATAAAGAATGTCAAGAGGATATGTAGAGAAGTAATACCTGAAAATTTCCCAAAGATGAGATTGGAAACTGAAATCAATATCAATGAAGCATACAGAACTCCAAATAGCAATAACCAAAATAAAACTACAGCAATACACATAATATTGGCCATCTCAGAAATCGAACAAAAGAATAGAATATTAAAAGGTGCCAGAGACAAAAGACAGATCACCTATAAAGAAAAACCTATCAGAATCACAGCAGACTTCTCAGCACAAACAATAAAGTCAAAAAGACCATGGAGTGAAGTATTTCAGATCCTAAAGGAAAGTGATTTCCAACCTAGACTGATGTACCCTGCAAAACTGTCCTTCAAAATGGATGGAGAAATAAGATACTTCCATGACAAAGAACAGCTGAAAAACTAAATGATCACCAAGCCATCCCTGCAAAGAATACTGAAAGACAGTCTAGATACATTTAGGAAAAAACCACTAAATAAAGCAGACAATTAAACAGAACAGAAAGATAAAGATGCAACAGCAGAAAGATAACATCAACAATAAACCAATATATAACAGTTATAACAATTAATTTAAATGGTCTCAATGCACCAATTAAAAGAAACAGACTGACAGAATGGATCAAGAAACAAAATCCAACCATATGTTGTCTACAAGAAACCCATCTAACCCAAAAGTATACCGACAGACTGAAAGTTAAAGGATGGAAAACAATACTTCATGCAACAGGAACCCCCCCCCCAAAAAAAAACGGGGGTGACTATTCTGTTTGCATACAATATGAACTTCAAGCCAATAATGATCAGAAGGGATAAAGAAGGTCACTACATATTGGTTAGGGGAAAACTCCAAGAGGAAGAGATGACTATCTTAAATATATATGCACCAAACTCCAGAGCACCCAGTTGTATAAAACAAGTACTAACAGAAATGAAAAACCTAGTTAACAGTAACACAATTCTAACGGGAGATCTTAACACACCATTGACACCAATGGACAGATCAACCAGACAGAAAATCAGCAAAGAAATAAAAGAACTGAATCGCACCTGTGAACAAATGGACTTAATCGACATATACAGAGTATTACACCAAAGAACAACAGAATACACATTCTTCTCAGCAGTACATGGGTCATTCTCTAAAATAGACAATATATTAATTCACAAAACATATCTAAATAAATGCAAAAGGGTTGAAATTACCCCTTGCATGCTATGGGATCATAGTGCTATGAAATTAGAAATTAATGATAAAAGATACTGCAAAATTCCCACAAACACATGGAAACTGAATAACACTCTCGTGAGTAATCAGTGGGTCACAGAGGAAATTAAAGAAGAAATTAAACACTACCTACAATAAAATGAACACACAAATATAACTTACTGGAATCGGTAGGATGCAATGAAAGCTGTCCTCAGAGGAAAATTTATTGCACTAAGTTCACACATCAGGGAAACAGAATGAATACAAATAAATAACCTGATGTTATACCTCAAACATCAAGAAAAAGTAGAGCAAGTCAACCCCAAAGCCAAAAGAAGAGAAGAAATTATAAAAATCAGAGCAGAAATCAATGCAATAGAGACTAAAAAAATCCAAAAAATCAGTGAATCAAAGAGTTGGTTCTTTGAAAGAATAAATAAAATTGACAAGCCCCTAACCAACCTTATTTTAAAAAGGGAAGAAAAAGCTTAAATTCATGCAATAAGGAATGGAAGAGGAGAAATCACTACACACTCTATAGAAACACAGAAAATCATCAACACCTATTTAGAAAACCTCTACTCTCAAAGGTTTGATAACCAGAGGAAATGGACAGATTCCTAGAAGCATACAAAGTACCAAAGCTAGGTCATGAAGATCTAAAACTACTGAATAACCAAATTACTATTAATGAGATAAAAAATGTAATTAAATCCTTACCTACAAAGAAGAGCCCAGGCTCAGAAGGACTCAGTGCAGAATTCTACAAGGAATACAAACAAGACCTAATGCAACACTCCTCAAACTCTTCAATGAAATTGAAAGGGAAGCAATCCTTCCTAAATCATTCCTAGAAGCAAATATTACTTTAGTACCAAAAACTGAAAAGGACCCAACTGAAAAAGGGAGCTACAGACCAATCTCCCTAATGAACACAGATGCAAAATTCCTGATTAAAATATTGGCAAATAGGATGCAGCAAATCATCAAGAAGTTCATACACCATGATCAAGTGGAATTCATCCCAGGCATGCAGGGATGGTTCAATATACGTAAATTAATAAATGTAATACACCATATCAGTAGAGCCAAAAATAAGAACCACTTACTTTTGGTTGTATCATTTTTATAGATGATCACTTCTATAGATGCAGAAA